AATAGGTGATTAATACATACTTGTTGAGGCTGCTGCTGTTTATTAATACTTATTGATTGATAATGAAAGAACATGGTGTTTGCGCTTTTAGGATTTGCCCTTCATTTTGCAGAAGGGATGTAACTAGGTAAGATTTCCAAAATCCAAAAGAATCAGATTAAGCAATCATCCCCAAAAGAAATCTGTCATTGTCAACACCTCCCCTGCTCCACCCAAATACACTGGACTTTGTCTCTCCTCTTGGCTTTGACCTCATCCATTAAGCTTTTTGGGGGCTGGGGATTATAGACAAAGGAATTCGGAGGTGAAAGGTAAGCCAGTATAGACAGAGAGGTGCAGGGCTCCCACAAAGGCAGAAAGAAAACCCAGGGCCCAGAGAAAAGGGCCATCTTTAAACCAGAGGGGAACTTTAATGATGAACCAGTGACGGGGATGCTTCCAACCACAGCCAAAGCTGAAGGGGAAAGGCGCCTGAGGGTGAGGGGAGTCCTTTTAGGTGTGAAGCACAAAAATACAACCAGTGCCCTTTAAGGAGTGGTCTTGCGCTACACAGAAGTGGCTGTGTCTTTCAGTGGTCACCCATGCCTAAGATGTGGAGTCTCAGGCCAGACTAGGCAAAGGGACCGTACCAATAAACCGCCCTGAGGGGACCTAAAGGAATGAACATTTTCTGTTGGCCAGCCACTGCCATCTTTCCTTTGGTCTCCTAAGGGTCCTCTATCCAAAATGGAAAGATAGCAGAGAAAACTGGGTAGCAGGAAACACATCCTGCGAAGGGCAATGATTTCAGTGCCTTGGGAAACTTCCATTGTGGAAAGTCCCTTCCCTCATACAAAGCAGCCACTACTTAGTAACTTAATTCACCTGGAGTCCTGAGAGTTTAAGTGACTTGTTTAAGAGAGTACTGAGACTTTAAGTCACAAAACCAAAATCATAATCAGAATTACTAGCATTTAAATGGCTCTTTCAGGTTTGCAAAGGACTTTACACATGTTAACTCAGCGATCCAGTCAGGATGTGCCAGACTCAGGACTTGTACCCAGGTCTTCCCGATTCCAAGGCTGGCCCACTGTCAATTATTCAACAGTGCCCTTCCCCCTTAGTCAATGAAATGATAATTAACTTCTGTATTGGGGGGAGGGCGGATACTCTAAGGATCTCCGCTTCGGGGGTCTCAGTCAATGAGAAAACCAGGAAGACATGGAGGTGGCTTAGGCCAAACTGGTTTTCTGTGTGAGGAACTAGATCATTCATCGAGAAATAAGAAAGCATAAATCCCTCAACGTGTCAGTTCAACTTTTAAAAAACCCACTTTGTTGCATGGGAGTAAAAAATAAAAACATGAGTCAGGAGCTAGAGGAGAAGGGTGGGAGGATGCAGGACATATGAAGGGCACGGGGAGAACCAGGCACCAACAGGACACACACTATTCCTCCAAGAGGGGGCGGAAGGTCCCCTTAAATTCTGGGTGGTAGTAGCGCCCTTTGGAGTAGCGATTCCGCCAGCGCCTGGGGCCGAGCCGCGCCGCCATATTGACGTTTGGAGAGGTGTGGAATGCCATCCAGGACAGTCAGAAGCCAACAGCACGGAGGGTGAAGATGAGAACAAGGTGAAGAAAGACACGACAGGAAATGGAGTGGTAGAGGAAGAGGAGATGTGACAGGCCAGGTTTGAAGAGAAATGCACCCCAGGACAGACACCGTTGGAAAAGAGAAGAGAAAAACGCAAATTAGACGCTGAGCCTGGGAAAGCAGGAATCACGACCAGAAAGGGGCTGGGGTTCAACCAGAAGCAGATATATTGGCATTGGGGGCCCCTTTTAGGGTCTCTCCATTTAAAAAAAATGACATAACCATTTAAAATTATTTTTAAATATTTCATTAAATATTTCCCAATTCCATTTAAAAGAATTTTTACCAATCATTTTTTAAAATTTTGAGTTTCGGGTCTCTTCTTGATGGAACCGCATTGCTACATCCCAGAATCCCAGAATATTAGAAGTGAAAGGGACCTCAGGGGTCACAGGATCTTAGATCCAGAGCTGAAAGGGGGCCATCTGGTGCAATCCCCTCATTTTACAGAAAAGGAAACTGAGGCCCAAGAGGCCAAATCAAATGCTCAAGATCTCAGAGTTATCTTTGGTCTGCAAGTCACTTATAACCCATCGGTGTCTCAGACAAGAGGAGGTACCAACCTATATTAGTGGATGGAGGTTCCACACTGGGAATTCCCTACACCAACAGGAGAGAGAATCGCTGCTGTACTGAAACTGCTTTGGGGGGCATCTTACTACTTTCAAGTAGAAGAGTTAAAAGTGCTTTTAAAAATATGATAACAAGGGGCAGCTAGGTGGCGCAGTGGATGGAACACTGGTCCTGAAGTCAGGAGGACCTGAGTTCAAATCCGGCCGCAAACCAAACACTTGCCACTAGTTGTGTGACCCTGGGCAAGTCACTTAACCCCAATTATCCAAAAAAAGAAAAAAAATCTACTTATACTAGTGATGTTAAACCCAAATGGACTTAGAAAAACACAAACTGACATTATCTATGCTGTGTTTTAGTTTTTAGATATTTTGTTCAATACTTCTCAATTACATTTCTGGGCTGACTTGAGTTTAATGTCTCTGGCCTACAGGTTAAGTGACTTGCCTAGGGTCACACAGCCAGGAGATATCAGGGGCAGGGCTGAAGACTAGGTCCGGGTTGGCTATCCATTCTTATCATGTTGCCTCTCTCATATGTAATATGAGGGCGTTGGACTAGATGACCCCCTCCCTGCCCAAGTTCCCTTCCCACTCTAAAGCTAAAGTCTTAAAGTTAAGACTTCATGAAGCCAGACTGGTCTTCCCTCCAACTAGGCCCAAAGTTGGAGGTTTGACTTGCTCCCTTTCCAAAGCTGAATGTGGACAGACCCCATGGGGGCACTGCAGAAATGCAGCTTGAAGTTTGGCTATGGCCATACTCCTTGGCACCAACGGTTCACTAGGGACCGCCATTTTATCCATGAGTGCTCCCTTCCCAGGAATGCCAATATATCTTTGACAAATGGAAATGTCCCAAAACACAAGTCTACATTTGAAACAATCATACCAGACAGCTTTTTGAGATGGATGCATTTGGAAACAGTATATTCTAAGCACATGGCCTGAAATTCATGAAATTGAGGAGGAAGTAAGTGCTTATGCTTTTGGTCAAAACATATGGATCTAATCTAGGGGATTTAGTATTTTATTTGAATACGTGTGGGTGTATGTGTGTGTGTATGGACTATGGTTACATAGAGGTAGGGTGATGTAGACATAAGAACATATACATTTAGAACTGGAAGGGAGCTAACATCATCAAATCTAATTTCATCTATTTTACAGGTGAGGAAGTTGAGGCCCAGCTGGGTCAAGTGATTCACCCAATGTCACACAGGAGCTTAAGGTGCTGAGCTGAGATTCAAACTCAGGTCTTCAGACTGCGAATCCAGTTTTCTTTCTACGTTACAAATAGCACTGGACGTGAAGTATAAAGAAGCTGATGTGAATTCTGGCTCAGCTAGTCACTGCCATGAACAGGGAAAGGGACATCCTCTTTCCTGGCCTATGTGTCCCCATCTGTAGAGTCAGTCCATATCTACAACCCTGCTTCTGTGTCCCAAGCGGTGTGGGGTGGTAGAGGGTGCTAGCCTCAGAGGCAGCAACTCAGGAAATCTCAGGTTCTAGTCTCATCTCTGACACCTTTTGGGGGTGTGACCCTGGGTGAGTGACTTGGTCTCTCAAAGCTCTATGCTAGGTGGTGGGGACCCAAAGAACAGGAAAAAAAAAAAAGCCAGCCCCCGGGCCCTCAGAGAGTCTCCACTCTACTAAGACAAGGGCAGAAGGAAATGGATGCTAGCCGTGTGACCCTGGGCAAGTCACTTAACCCCAACTGCCTGGCTTAAAAAAAAAGAAAAGAAAAGAAAAAAGCAAACAGATGACCACAAGGGTCCTTTTCCAGCTCTAAAATCAAGATCCTTTGACTTCTGTTGGCCTCAGTTTCCCCATCTCTAAAAGGATGGGTCGGACTAATTGATCTTTAAAAATTGATTCCAGCTTTAAACCCTGTGACCCAATGGGTGTCCGAAGGATATGGGTTGTCCCAAAAGTCTTAGAACAGGATTGAACTTTTATCGTTTTTTTGGCTTTTATAAGCTTCAAATTGCCCTAAGATTTTTAGGACAACCTTGTATATATGTGATATGTACATGTATATGTGTATATATGTATACACATGTGTATATGCATGTATATATGTATGTGTGTATATGTACGTGCATATATGTGTACACATACCCACATTATACACTCTCCCATATATATGTAGTTAGAAAAACCTCCTCTATCTCCTTGTGTGTGTGTGTGTGTGTGTGTGTGTGTGTGTACATACATGTGAGAAAGTTCTCCAGCTGTCAGATGGAAAGGTCAGCACCTGCCCTATACCTCTCACAGGACCGTCCTGAGGGGAAGGTGGAAAAAATGTGAATGGGCTCTAAATGAACCCAGAGGCCTGGGTGTGCCTCAACATAGACAGTCCTGGTGCAGGCAGGCCCAAGTATGACAAAACCTATTTGTGTATAAAGATCATTTTTTGGGTGGGGGGAGTAGAGGGGGATGGAAATGATACCTCCTTGCTTCTCACTGACCTTTAAAATTTGCAGAAGCCAATGCCTTTGGGAAAGGAAGTGTTTCAGCCCCAGTGGCCCTGCCCTGGTCCCAACCTGACCCCTTGTGTCCCCTCCCCTTCCCCTCCTATAGGTGAGGATTGGAAGCTGCCACTGGAGAGCACTGAGGGAAGGAGGTTCACCATGCCCGATCTCCTTCCCCAAAGCCCCGCCCCTGCCACAGAAGTGACCCCCCCCCCTCCCTCCAGCAGGGGGTCAGGGCAGCCTGGACAGACTCGTTCGGGCCTTTGGAACCTGACAGCAGAGGGTGCAGGAGAAGGGTGGGCAGAGGCCCTCTGGGGCATACTTACTCAGCCGATTTCCAGAAGTGGCCTGGGTGAGAGAGGCGCCGGTTCAGTTTGGGCAGTTTTTCCATCATTTCCATCAGGAGGGGAAAGCTGGGTCTCTCCTGCAGGTCGAAGGCCCAGCAAGCGGACAGGATCTCCTGCAGGGTGACAGGTCACTGGTTCATTCCCCAAGCATCTGTCAGGCGCTTACCATGTGAGAACTCTTGTGCTAGGCACCGGTGGGGGGAAGGGAGGCGGGGGGCGGGCGCGCGGGAAGGGGAGAAACTATCCCTATCCAAGCTGTCAAGGAGCTTAGGGGGATGGGGATGTACATGGTACAGTGGATAGAGCACCGGCCCTGGAGTCAGGAGGACCTGAGTTCAAATCCGGCCTCAAACACCTGACACTTACTAGCTGTGTGACCCTGGGCAAGTCACTTACCTTCAACTGCCTCACCAAAAAGAAAAAAAAAAGAGAGCTTACGGGAAGGGGTGGGGGAACTCATAGGCAGATAAAGAAATACAGAGTAATTTAGGCAGTAAGGAAGCACTAACAACTAGGGGGATTGGAAAAGGCTTCCTGTAGGAGGGGGCATGGAGCAAGTGAGGGATTCTAAGTGGCAGTACTGTGGAGGGACTGCATGGGAGACTGGGCAAAGGTGCGAAGGCTGGAGATGAACAGTCATGTTTGGAGAACGACAAGTAGGATGGTTTGGCAGGAAGGTGGAGAAGGTAAATGGGAAATGTTTCTGGAGAGGGGTCCTTTAAAGATCAAACAGAAACAAAAATCCCCATGGGCCACAAATTAACATTAGCTATGGGCCCATTTCCAAAATCATGTTTTTTTAAATGCATAAAGCACATGACGAGAATTGCAAAGGAAACCAATTCTACTGAAACGCCATCATTCAGAGTTTTTAAAAAAGCTGACGCGGACGCCAGGGTGAGAACCCCGCTCGCCAGCTCCCGCCCTGCCCGGCTCCTGCGTGAGCTGTCCCAGGGAGGCGGCCACCATGGCTGCCGGCAGCCACTTACAGTGACTTCCTTCCCCAAGCTGATCCCCGCCAGCACGTGCTTGACGCCTTCCCCGCTTCCAATCTGCCAGATGAGGGCTTCAGCAGCTTGGGTCTGGAAAGGCCAGTCTCTTGCTTGGAGTTCATACCACACCGTCCTGGAAAGACCACCCAGACTGAATTGGGACAGTAGGGAAAGCAGAGCGGGACAGTGGGGATGAGGCTGGATTCTGGGCTGGCCCGGGGGAGTCTCTGGGCTCCTTCTCGCTTCTCTGTGATTCTATGACCCCGAGCCTTCCGTCAGCTCCCTCCCCCATCCAAGATCACCAGAGACTTTGAGGGCAGAGAATAACAGCCCAGGAAAGATGCCAGAGCTCTAAGGATTTGCTCCCAAATCTTGGCCTGTCCTATGAGAAGGTGCCAGGATGTGACAGTGGTTTAGGAGTGAGGTGGTCTGTAGAGTCTGATTGTGTGAGGAAAGGAAAGGAGGGAGGGAAGGGGAAGAAAGAAGAAGGGGGGAGAGAGCAGGGAAGGAGAGAAAGAAGGAGGGAGGGAGGGAGAAGAGAAGGAGGGAGAAAGGAGAAAGAAAGAGAAGGAGGGAGGAAGGAGAGAAGGAAGGGGGGGGGGAAGGAAAGAAGGGGGGGGGGGGGGGGGAAAGGGAGGGAGGGAGGAGAAAAGGAGGAAGGGAGGGAGGAAAGAAGGAGGGAGGGGAAAGAAAGAGAAGGAGGGAGGAAGGAGAGAAGGAAGGGCCCTAGAATTAGAATCCCACAATTTCAGAGTCAAAAGGGACCTCAGCAGCTATCCAGGCCAACCCATCTACTCCCCCCCAAAAAGAACCTGACAAATGACCATCCCAGTCTCCAAGGAAAACAAGCCCGAGGCAATGCCTTCCACTTCTAGACAGCTCCTAATGTATGGAAGTTGTCCCTTAACGTCAAGCCTAGATTTGCCTCTTGGCCTTCTCGGCCCTCACTCACCGCCTCCTCAGGGCCTCCCAGCCCTGCTTTCTGAATGAATGTCTTCTCCCTCCCCCGAGTGACCATCTTGATACTTGAAGACAGCCGTCAGGGCCTGCCAGAGGCCTCCCCTCTTCAGGTTTTTCTTTAGTTTCCTCAGCTACATCTAATAGAGTTGGTCAAGAGGCTATCTGACTGGAGGACTCCAACCTGCAGCACCCTAGCTACTGGACATTTACGTTAATAATAATAACGATAGCCTGCGTTTATATAGCACTCCAGAGGCTTGCAAAGGGCTCTACAAATATCATCTCCTTTAATCCTCACAATGACCCTGGGAAGGAGGTGCCATTATGAGCCTCATTTTACAGACAGGGAAAACGAGGCATTTTGTTGTTCAGTTTTGTCCAACTTTCCATCACCTCATTTGGGGTTTTTTTTGGCAAAGATACTAGAGCAGTTTGCCATTTCCTTCTTCAGCTCATTTGATAGATGAGGAAACTGAGGCAAACAGAGTGAAGTGACTTACCCAGGGTCACACAGCTAGTAAGTGTATGAGGCTAGATTTGAACTCAGGTCCTCCTGACTCCAAGGATGGTGCTCTAGCCATTGTAGCACTTAGCTGCCCACCGCCTCACCCCTATCCCCATCCCAATGAGGTATACCGAGGTAAAATGACTTTCTGCATAGTAGATGTTTGAGGTAAGATTTGAATTCAAGTCTTCCTGAACTCAAGGTCCTGGGCTCTACCCACTGCACCACCCATCTAACTGCCTTTGGTGAATGGTACCCACTGGGCTGGTAAAGCAACAGACTATGAAGTAGTAGATACAGAGCTGGACTTAAGAGCCAGACAGACCTGGGTTCAAATCCTGCCTCTCCCACTTACCAGCTATCTAACCACTAGCAAGCCAAGCAACAAGCCTTTATTTACCATGCCTGGGCCCGTGGGAAGCAGTGAGGATACAAGGAAAGGCAAAAACAAGTCACTTTCCTGAGCCTCAGTTTCCTTATCTATAAAATGGGGTTGATAACACTTGTCATTCCCCCACCCCACTCCTTTGCAGAGAGGTGCAAACAGTGTATAGATATTCAGACTTCTGAAGCATTGATTGGTTTTCCTGATTTCTAGTTTTCTTTTTTTTTCCTCTAAAATATTATTTGTCACATGTGATGGCTGACTGGGAGGGACAAGGGGAAGGGATATTCCTGGCAGAAATACAGGTGATATAAAAACAAAAGATATCAATGAAAATGTATTTCAATAAATAAGACCTATCATAAGAGGTAGGGTGGTATAGTGGGGTGGGGTGAGGGTGCTACAGTCAGTAAACCATGTTGGGGTTCAAGTCCTGATTTTGACACATATTGTCTATAAATCCGGCCTCAGATACTTACTAGCTGAGTGACCCTGGGCAAGTCACTTAACCCTGTTTGCCTCAATTTCTTCATCTGTAAAATAATCTGGAGAAGGAAACGGCAAACTACCCCAGTATCTTTGCCCAGAAATACCCCAAATGAGGTCACAGTCTGCTACAACTGGAAAACAACTGAGTAACAAACAACAATTACAGAGCAGCTAGATGGCGCCATAGCGCACAGAGCACCAGGCCTGGAGCCAATAAGACTTAACTACGTGAGTTCAAATCTGGCCTCACACACTTCTGAGCTGTGAGACCCTGGGCAAGTCACTTAAGCCTGTTTGCCTCAGTTTCCTCATCTGTCAAATGAGCTGGAGAAGGAAATGGCAAAGCACTCCAGTATCTTTGCCAAGAAAACCCACAATGGGGTCATGAAAAGTCAAACACAACTGAAAACAACTAAACAGCATAACAACAAAGAATTCATTCAACTGTTTAGTGCCCCCAGATACTCTAAGGCTATAAGGTACAGATGAGTTGTCAACCTACATCCGTAAAGGGAATTTCCATACTGGAAGTTCTCTACACTGATGAAATCATAGGTGTAATTCATTCCCCTCCCCCCAAACATCTGTAATATCCGAACAAGTCTCTCATAGGCGTGCTGTGACAGTCGGGTGAGATAGGACACATATAAAATGCTTTGCAAACCTTAAAGAGTCCTCTCAGCTATGACCATCATCCTCAGGAAAGGCTCCCAGGCTCTTCACTGACTCTTTGCCATCAATCTCTGACTCCAGTTTCGTCTTGTTCCTTTCTGAAGTTTCCTTCACTCTCTATTTAACCTGCTTCCATCCTAGGCATCTTTCCTCTTCACAAAGAGGAAAGATCATTCCCATGTCTTGTTCGTGGAGGCCAAGGGGCCCTTCGGGGGCTGTGTAATGTGACTCTGGCAGCCCAAAGCTGGAGATGGCCGGTCTACACCCGGCCTCGCTGGCTTCCTTTAAGACTCAGCCAAAGGTCTCACTTTCTGTAAGAAGCCTTGTGCCTTCCCTTGCTAAGATTTCATCCTGTCTATATTTTGTTGGTACACAGCTATTTGTATATTACCTCCCCCATCAGACTGTAAGCTCCTGGAGGGCAGGGACTATCTGTTTATTTCTTGTCTTTCTTTGTATCCCCAGCACTTATCAAGGTGCCTGGCAAACCATAGGAGCTTAATAAAGGCTTGTTGGGAGCAGCTAGGGGCATAGAGCTCCAGTCTTGGAGTCAGGACGACCTGAGTTCAAATCTGGCCTCAGACACTTGATACTTAACTAGCTGTGTGACCCTGGGCAAGTCACTTAACCCCTATTGCCTCACCAAAAAAAAGCAATAAATAACTAAATAAATAAATGCTTGTTGACTCAGTGACTGCTAACATGGGGAGCATTTGGAGACTTGGGGGGCCTTGCATTGCCGCTGATGTTACATACTCTTGGCCCAGACTCCCTCAAACAGCCCCTGCATGGAGAAAAGAGAAAAGGAGCCCAGAGGCTTCAGCTCACCCAAAGGCATACACATCAGCGGCTCTGGAGAAGGGCAGCTTATCTTCATCTTTCCCTGGGGTCATCTCCCGGACAATTTCGGGGGCCAGGTAGCACAGCCAATCATGTGGCAGCTTCAGCTCATTCTCCCGCCTGAATCACAAGAAAGCAGAAAAAAAGAATTGGGAGAGTTTGCTATTTCCAAGGTTCTCCTCTGCTTCCATGAAGGAGATTAGCTGATGTCTCACATTAGCTAAAAAGGCAATGCACAGATTAGATCAGAGGTTCTAAAACCGGGTCCGTGAACATGGTTTTTAAAAATACTGTGATAACTGTATTTCAATAGAATTGATTTTCTTCGTGATCCTATGTATTTTATTTTATGCATTGAAAGCCACGATTCTGAGAAGGGGTCCATAGGCTTTGCTAGACTGTCTGCCCGAGGGGTCCGGGGCAAAGACAAGGCAAAAAACTCCTGGTCTAGATAAATATGTCACCAAGCAGCAAGTTTAATCTATAAAATCACAAATTAGTATCAGGCTAGAATTTTGTGTTTGTTTGTTTTAGGCATATCACAAAAGGAGTGAACAGCAATCCACAGATGGCTGAGATCTTTTTTATCATTTCACTGTCTTTGCTGGGATGAGAGCTGTCCAGGACTTGACCTGAATCTAAGTTTTCTCCTCTGTTAAATGAGGGAGTCAGACTCAATAGGGCCTCCCAGGCTTCTGTAGTGGCCTCACCTGCCCTCCTGCACCACACCAGAGATCCCAAATAGCCCGAAGTCTGTGATGACCACCTTGCCATTGTCGTAGAAGATGTTCTTGGACTTCAGGTCTTTGTGTACGATGCCCTTGGCGTGCAGGTACCCCATGCCCTGGAAGAGAGCCCCACAAACAGGTCAGGTGGAAAGATGGCCTTGAAAGCCTGAGTCTGGAGGCTTCCGCACCAGCAAAGGGGCTGAGGTGCTGAAGGTGCCTGACTGAGACACGGCTCCAGGGAGAATGGGTGTCAGAGGGAAGGGGTGTGTGTGTGTGTGTGTGTGTGTGTGTACACTCGCACACACAACACACGCACATTAGGGTGAGACAAGATGGTGGGGAAGGAGGAAACAGTAGCAGGTTTGTGTTTAAACAAATGGAGACAGTGGCATTAATTCCAGGTGATTCAGAAATGGGCTTGATTCAACCCAAGGTCAGTCTACACTAGCTGTGTGACCCTGAGCAAGTCACTTAACCTGTTGGTTTCAGTTTCCTCATCTGTAAAATGGGGATAATAACAGCACTTACCTCCCAACATCGTTGATAAATAGATGATAATTATAAATCACTTAGCCAGTGCCTGGCACATAGTAAGCGCTATATAAATGTTAGCTATTATTATCATTATTTGAGCATAGTAGACATTTTATATTTGTTCAATTGAATGGAATTAAATGGTCATAATGTCTCACACAGCCTATAGCAATTTAAGGTTTACAAAGTATTTCCCTCTCAATGACTCTGTGAGGTATAAGTTATGGAAGTGTTATTACCACCCCCATTTTACAGATAAGAAACTGAGGCTTAGAGTAGCAATGAGACTGACTTGCCCACAGTCACAGAATTAGAGAGTGTCTGAAGTCGAGTCAAATCAAGTTATATCTACAAGCATTCGTTATATGTCTGAGAGTGGGGTGGTAGAAAGGACCTAGATTTGGAATCAGAGGACCTGGGTCTGAATCCCGAGTTTGCTGCTTCCTATCTGCGTGACCTGGGGTCTCAGGTTTGACCTCTAAAGGTCTCAGTTCCCTCAACAGTAAAAAATGAGAGAGTTGGAGAAAGGTCTCTTTCAGCTCCAGAGCTCTGATTTATTCGTTCAACACTAATGGAGTGTTCACCACATGCAGGACATCATGTTAGGAGCCAAGCTCCAGAGACAAAAAGATAACGGGCCCTGCCCTCCAGGAGCTTACATTCTAGTTCACCACAAAGTCTAGCAGGAACAGTCTGCATATAGTAAACTCTTCATTAGTCAAGGAAACTGAGGCCACAGAAATCAAAACTGAATCTCTCTATAACAAGGGAATAGCTGCTGAGGTTATGATGGGGCGAAATGCCAGGGCCCTCCCCTGGCATTCCCTATGCCAAGCCTTCTCTCAATGACATCAACTGTATAGAAGGATTTATAAATATATAATATATATGTAAATATATTTATAAATGAAAATATACAAATATATAAAGCACTTACATAGTGTTTTTTTACATCTCATTTTCTCTGACCTGTCAAATCTTCTTCTTCCTATTTTCTCCACGCCAGCCTATTCAGTATCCATACCCGCCTTTAGGGAGAAATAAATTCCTCTGGTTCTTTGGTTTTGGTTTTTTTTTTAATGACTCAATTTATCTTGTGTATTCTGAGGGCAGGGATTGTTTTTGCTTTTTCTTGGTTATCTCCAGCTTAGGTCCTGCATGGCACCTGGTAAGTGCTTGACTGATTGACTGATTATTGACTGTATGGGGGAGGGGTGAGGAGGGAGAGGAGCTGTGAATGCAGAAGGAGGAGCGGCATGAGGCTGACCCCAGGGTTAGCTTGCCGTATCAGCTCAGGCTTTTTCTCCTGAGAGTCTCCAAAAAGCATTTAAAGCAGCCCCGTCTTTAGCTTCCCCCCTTTAAAGAGAGGAGCAGCCTTCCCCCCATCTCTCTCCCAAAGCCTTCCCTCTCCTGACCCCCTGACTGCCAAGTCTGGCATCCCTCAAAGTGAAGCAAGAGATTTCCAGGAAAGGAGTGCTTCCTGTGTCCAGAATGGGCCCTGCCCAAGCCCAGGGCCCATTTCCAAGACCGTGAACAAAGCCTTGTTTGCTTTTCCCACCCTTCCTCGCCCCCTTGACATTTCTTTTCTAGCTGCTTTCCCAATGCCGGAGTCTCCTCCCATCCACTCCAGGAGACCCTTGGGGAAAGGTCTCCTCTCTTCTCCTGGACCACAGAAGGGAGCTGAGGGAAGGGCTCGAAATCAGAGACAGCAGGAGCAAGGTGGGAAATCAGCCTGGTGCTGGAATGCTCTCCCTTCAGCCTCTGAGACGCCCTGGCTTACACACACACACACACACACACACACACACACCCCTCACTGCTAATGCCTCCTCCCCCAAATGACCTTGAATTATCTTTTCCCATGCCTCGCACCTACTTAGAGATATATGGAACATAAACGCCAGAAGGCGGAGGCTGTTTCACTGAATGTGCCCAGCACCCAGTCAGTGTTCACAAATGCTTGTTGGCCACCTAACATACAGTCAGGAAAGAAGCAGGTCATGGGCAGGGGACCTTCTGAGCGCTATCATTCACCCCAGAACATCGTGACCCAGTTCCTTTAAACCCTGTAGATTGAAGTCTGTGTTTATGGCTCTTATCTTAGGACTTAGGGATCTTATTGGTCAGGGAAGACGGCAGTGGTCACCTATTTCAGCGCAGATTTAAACTTTGTACAAGTTTGGAAGCAGAGGCATGCTGCGGAGCTAAGCTGACTCAGGGTGACCATTTTTACCCTGGGAATCACCAAACACTAAAAATCTGGGCTTGATCTGTCATTTTGTTGATTGTCAGACTTAAGAAAGATGGGGAAAATATTAAGAGTGCATATTCAATGTTAAAATGTGTCCCGAGTACAGGTTTTCACCCCCCACCCCCACCTTGGAGAGCTCGTTGTTAAACATACATCAGCACGCTCTTCGGTGGGATTAATCAGAGGTTCGTAGACTTTGAGCTCAGGGGAACCTCAGAGGGCAACTAGTTCAGCACTTTTATTTTACAGAGAAGGAAACTGAGGCTCATGGAGAGATGGGGACTTGCACAAGGTCTCACAGGCTCATAGACTTAGAGCTGACGGGAACCTCAAAGGCCCTCATTTTACAGATGAGGAAACTGAGCTCTGGGAAGGGAAGTGACTACTCAGGGTCATACATGTAACAACTAGCAAAGCGAGGATGTGAGCCCGGGTCTTGTAATGCCCAAACCATTGTTTCATGCTGTTCCTTGATTTGTATGTGGAGGGGGTGGCATGCCATAAAAATAATGATGATAATTGACATTCATGAAGAGCCCAGTGAAAGTCTGCAAAATATTCTGCTCGCTGGAGTTTCCGAACAACCAGAGGAGATGGGCACTATTATCACCCTAGGCAGCTGGCTGGTGCAGTGGATAGCGAGTAGGAAGACCTGAGTTCAAATCCTGCCTTGAGACTGGCTGGCTGGCTGTGTGACCCCGGATAAGTCACTTAGCCTCTGTCGGCCTCAGCTTCCTCATCTGTAAAATGGGGATAATAACAGCACCTACCTCCAAAGGTCACTGCAAGCATCAGATAATAATTGTAAAGCGTCTGGCACAGTGCCGGGCACGGAGTACACGCTGTATAAATGAGCTATTATTATTTTACAAAGGAGGAAATTGAGATATGGAGAAATGAACGGCCTGCCCAAGGTCACGCAGCTTGTAAATATCAGAGACAGGATTTAAACCCAGACTTTCTGACTCCAAGTCCAGAGTTATCCACTACATCATGAAGAGAGAGGAAAATGGAAATTTTAGGAATTTTCTTATTTTTTTTTTTAAATGCTGGCTGTATTCTTACTGGGCCATCAATCAATGAACATTCTTTTTTTTTGGCTGGGGATACAACCACACCCCTTGCTCTGCCCCGACACCAACCTATATTAGGTCTTTATGAGTCTGCAGGCACTCAGCTCAGAAACATCAAAAGAGATTAAGCCTAAGCCGGCTTCTTCACCAAATAATTATGCTTGACTCATTCAGAGAGAGGCAGCTCGTCCTGCTCTGGGCCAAGACTAGCTCTACAGCCATGAGCAAGTGGCAGCTCTTGGTGCCCTGGGAGATTCTCTGAAAACACAAGGGACAGAATGATGGCATCTATCGACGGAATTTCCAGACAGGGAGTACTTTTAATTGAAGAAATCTTACAGCTGGTCTCTTCTCCGCCTCCAAATTGTTTATATAGACATAGAGTAGAAGGGGAGGGGAAGAAAAGGGGGAAGAAGAAAAGAAAAAGAAACAGAGGGGAGGCAAGAGAGGGGGAGAGGAGAGGAGAAAAGAGAAGGGGAAGAAGGGATAGGAAGAAGGGGGAAATGGGAGGAGAGAGGGGATAGGGAAGAAGAGTCAGGAGACCCGGACAGTAATCCCCTCTTGGCTAGCAACTCCCTATGTGACTGTGAGAAATCCTCTCGCCCTCTCTGGACATTGGTTTCATCCTCTATAAAAACAAGGGATTCAGGCTGGATCAGGGGTTCAGAACCCGGAGTCTGTGAGTGTGTGTTTGTAAATATTTTGATAACTCTATTTCCATAGAATTGGCTTCGTTTGCCCTGGTTCAAATCCAGCTTCAGATATTTCCTAGAGCCGTGTGATCCTGGGCAAGGCCCTCAACCTCTCCTTGCCTCAGTTTCCTCAACAGTAAAATGGGAATGACAAGAGCACCTCCCTCCCAAGGTTGTTGTGACTATTTAATGAGATCCTATCTGTAGAGTGCTTAGCATGGTGTCTGGCTTACAACAGGCTCTTAGTAAAGACTCGTCCCCTTCCCTTCCCCTTCCCCGAATATTTTGTTTTATTCATTGCTCTGAGAAGGGGTCCATAGGGGTCACCAAAATGGGACCAAAAGGGTCCGGGACACAAAGAGCATCCCCTGATTTTACTCATCACCATCATTTTTATAGATCATGGGCAAAGGGGGTTAAAGTGTTGAAAGACACTTGGATAGAGAACCTCAATCAATCAGCTATGGGCTGGGTGCTGTAAATACAAAGACAAAAATGAAACAGAGGTCACCGCCTGCCCCCAAGGGGCTTACCATCTATTTCATCGAGGGGAGGCGAGAGCTGGAAAAGCCATGTTCCCTAGGAAAGGTGGCCGTCCACTTACCTTGATGATCTCCTGAGCGATCTGCCTGGTTTTGTTGATGTCCAGACTCGTCTTGGGGTCCCTCACGAAGGAGTGAAGCGTCCGCCCTTTACAGAAACTGTAGGAGAGCGAAGGGGAGATGGGAGAGAGAGAGAGAAAGACCTCGTGAGCAGCTGCCCTCTACACAAGGAGAGGGCTGGCCCTGAGGGGATCTCAGGCCTCTTCCAGGCCTTCCCTATCCCCTCTCTCCTCCCATTTCCCCCTTCTTCCTATCCCTTCTTCTGGGTGGTGGGCAGAGTGATCTGGTGCAAAGAGAACTGGTTCTGGTGTGAGAGGGCCTGGGTTCGAATACCATCTGATCCCTCCCCATTTACTAGCCCTGCCACCTTAGGCAAGTCCCCCAACCTCCCCGTGACTTAGTTTCCTCATCTGTAAAGCAGGAATGAATGAGGTACAGTGAGAAGATCATTAAAATTAAAAGTTGAAATCCCACCTTTGATGATTACTACCTGGGTGACCTTAGGTAGGGAACTTTACATCCTCGGGCCTCAGTTTTGTCATCTGTAAAATGAGTCGGTTGGATGAGATGACCCTTGAGGTCTCCTCCAACTCTGGATTGAGAATTCTGTGGTCTATAATAACAGCTCACATGTAGGCGGCGCTTTAAGGTTTGCAAAGCCTAGGAGGCGGGAGTTATTATTATCCCCATTTTACAGATAAGGAAACTGAGACCGACAGAAGTGAAGCGACTTGTTGAGGGTCACCCACATGGTTTCTGGGAGACAGTGTAAAGTCAGAAAGTTTGAGCTCAGGTCTTCCGGATTCTAGGGGATTTGTTCTGTGAAGTTTGGAGTCAGTCAAAGAGCCACACTTGAGGACCTAGAGGGCCACATGTGGCCTCGAGGCCGCAGGTTCCCCACCCCTGTTCTAGGGTCTCTGATAGCTATCTATTCTCTATTACCTTAAATACCTTAAATTTCCTGTAAATTAAAAAAAAGTTAGTATCCCTCCCACCAGCAGCAAGGTGGCGCCATAGTGCACAGAGAGCAGGGCCTGGCATTAGGAAGGCCAAATGTAGCCTCAGACCCAAGTGACTTAACCCTGTTTGCCTCAGTTTCCTCATCTGCAAAATGAGCTGGAAAAGGAAATGGCAAACCACTCCGGTATCTGCCAAGAAAACCCCCAAATGGGGTCATGGAGAGCTGGACGCAACTGCCATGGCTGAACCCGAGGGCATAAAGTAACATCCACTCATGCCCCTGAAGCAGTTAGGTGGCACAGCGAACAGAAGGCTGGCTCTGGACTCAGGAAGACCCAAGTTCAAATCCTGCCTCAGACACCTACTGGCCGGGTGACGCCAGACAAGTCACTTAAGCTCCCACCCTCAGTTTCCCCATCTGTAAAATGGGGATAATGAATAGCACCTGCTTCACAGGGCTGTAGTAAAGATGAAATGAGATGATGCAAACCTTTAAACACCATATGTGTTCATTGTTAATGTTGTTATTATGAAACCTTTCCTGGTTCCCCCACTACAGGGCCGGCCTCCTCCACTTACCTTCTATTTCCTTTCTATCTCTTTTGGACAGATCTCAATGTCTATGTGGTGCTCCCCGCCCCAGTAAGCCTCCTGAAGCCAGGGACTGTCTCTTTTGTTCCCCTAGGTTCCAGAAGAGTGCTGGGCACACAGTAAGTGCTTAATAAATGCTTGTTGCTCAGTTGATCTGCGGCTTCATTCTCTCCATCCACACAGATAACAATCTTCCCTGAGACTCAGATGGGCTTTAAGTATTTCTGTGGCTCAAAAAGTCCATCCATCTTTGGCCAGCCTGATGATAACAGTCTCTCTGCTGGTCCTTGGACAACAGACACGCTCAAAGCCTTTCCAGCGTGGGAAAACCTTCTTATATTCCACTGAAATAGCCTAAAAAGGCTCCCCTTTACCTTCACTAAGGAAAGACTACAGATGTGGGCGATACACTTTTATTTTTAAAAATAAGCTTCTAAATAAAAAAGCTTACATAAAAAAAAAAAGACCTGTGCACTGGGCAGGGGAGTTTTGAATTTCAAAGATGTCAATGCAGAAATTTCAGGGATTTCATTTGCAAGACGATATAATAAAATAAAACAAATTTATTAAACTGAGACTATATGTAGATCTCTGTACTAACTGCTGGATGAGAAACAATGTTTTAATTAGCCATGGTTCCTAGGGCAGCCTCGAAAAGGGATGGGACAACAGCACAGATATAATACACAATATTCCATAAGTTTGCCAGAACTTTAATAAGTTCTTATCAATGTTTCAATATGCTTTAATAAGAACTACAATAAGTTCATACAGAGCTTTCTGAGGTCTGAGGGCCAAGGCTCATGCCAACCAGGGGAATTCCTAAGTTAAGGAGGACTTTTAGCAGAGACTTCTAGGAAAAAGTTTTAAAACAAACACCATTCAGAAAGATTATGTTTTAAAAAATTTTCAGTGAAATGTGATTCTTTTTGGAATCTTGCTACATGAAAGAAGGGGAAAGGAATATGCATTTATTAAATGCCTACTATGTGCCAGGCACTGTGCTAAGGACTTTTTCTAAATATTATCTCTTTTGCTCCTCACAGTAACTCTGGGAGGTAGGCGATATTATCCCCATTTTACAGTTGAGAGAACTGAGGCAGGAAGAAGTTAAGTGACTTGCCCAGGGTCACACAGTTAGTAAGCAAGGCGAGATCTGAACTCAGGTCTTCCTGACTCCTTGCCCAGTGCTCTATCCACCATGCCACCTAGCTGCCTCCAAGAGCTACAATGTCAAAATGTGGACACTGTGACATTGAGAAGACACTTAGGGCCTAAAGAAGAAACATGAGAATGCACTTCCTTCCCATCTTTGCAAAGGTGGGGGTCTATGGGTATGGAACACAGCACATGCTATTGAAATTAGATGACATGTTGGATAATTTTGCTAAACTTTTTTTAAAAACCCTTTGTTCTTTCTTTCTTTCTTTTTAATTTGCTTTTTGGTGAGGCAATCGGGGTTAAGTGACTTGCCCAGTGTCACACAGCTACTAAGTGTCAAGTGTCTGAAGACAGATTTGAACTCAGGTCCTCTTGATTCCAAAGGCCGGACCTCTATCTACTGTGCCAGCTAGCTGCCCCTTTTAAAACCCTTTGTTAACGAGATGACTCTCTAGATGAGGAGGGGGAGAAAGCTATACTGGGAAATGAAGGTGAAATAGAAACAAGATGCTAGTAAAATTAATTTTCTCTCTCTTTTTTTTTTTTGGCTGGGCAATGTGGTTAAGTGACTTGCCCAGGGTCACACAGCTAGTAAGTGTTATGTGTCTGAGGTCGGATTTGAACTCAGGTCCTCCTGACTCCAGGGCCGGTGCTCTATCCACTATGCCATCTAGCTGCCCTGTAAAATTAATTTTTCAAAAGAAAGTGGGCCTGGGGCCAGAGAGGGCCCTCCACTTACCTGGTGATGATGGCCAGGTGCGGGGGATTCATACAAGCCCCCATGAAGAGCACAACGTTCTCATGCCGCGTCTGCCTGTAATTCATCACCTCCTTCTTAAACAGCTTGAGATGGTCCTGGTTGTTGCCGTCGATCTCCAGTAGGCGGATGGCCACCTCCCCGTGCCACCGGCCCCGGTGGACCTTCCCCCACCGCCCCTGCCCGATGGGCTCGCCCAGCTCCACCTGCTCAAAGGGAATGTCCCACTCCTGCAGGTAGACGCTGGTCTTGCTGGCTTTTCGAGAGATCATCCCTTTCCACGGCTTCCGGGAGCTGGGGAGGTCGTCCAGCTCGTCCTCGTCGTCCTCTAGCTCCGACTTACTTGCTTCTTGTTCTTCCACCTACAGTGGAAAAAGAAGAAGAAGAAGAAGAAGAAGAAGCCATGAACCTGGTGAGAGGCCATGCGATCCCACGAGGGAGCCACTGGACCTGGACCCAGGGACCTTGTGTAAGCCCCATCCCCACGCCGAGCCTCAGCTGGGTTGGCCCCAACATTCTACATTCCATAATGTGTCAGTGACTCATGAACACTATTGGAGAATTATACAAGTTTTTGCTAGTGGCTGCCGCAAAGAAGAAGAATGATCAAGTCAGGGTTTTTTTGGTAAATATTTTTATTATTAAAGTGTTTCCGCCCTTCAGGCCATTAGTAAATCAAAGTCTCTCTCCCTTTCACAAGCCATATCTTACATCTAGAAGCCAGGCTGTAGAAGGATGATGATGATAATGATGAGGATGACAGTCAGCATTTATACAGCACCTACTGTGTGCCTGGCACTATGCTAAACGCTTTACAATTGTTATCTCATTTCATCCTCACGACAACTCTGAAGTAGCTGCTGTTACTATCTCTGTTTTACTGATGAGGAAACTGAGGCAGGTAGAGGTTAAGTGACTTGTCCAGGGTCATGCAGCTATTAAGTGTCTGAGGTCACATTTGAACTCAGGTCTTCCTGACTCCATGCCTGGCGTTCTACCCACCAAGCCACGTAGCGACCAATGCATAGAACCTGGTTTCAAATTGGTCTTAAGGAAGCAGCTAGGTGGAGAAACAAAGGGGTCACTGGACTCAGACGCAAGGTGACCTGAATTCTAATCCTGCCTCAGATATTTATTAGCTGTATGATCTTGGACCAATCACTTTACTTCTTCCCCATCTAAAAAATGCCTCTCAGGGGCAGCTAGGTGGTGCAGTGCAGCAGAGCTCCTGCCTTGGAGTCTGGAGGACCCGAGTACAAATCTGGCCTCAGATACTTGACACTTACTAGCCGTGTGACCCTGGGCAAGTCACTTAACCCCAATTGCCTCCTCAAAAAGAAAAAAAAGATGCCCCTCAGGGTTGTTATGTGGATCAAATGAGATAATATATGTAAAAACTTTAAGGAGACTTTAAGGAGCTACATAAATGTTAGCCATCATAAGCATTAAGGATAAACATGTAAAGGGAAGCAAAATTCATGAATTTTCTAATTGTTCTTCCCTCCTGTGGACATTAGCCTGGAACCCATAGAACTAGACTCAATGAAGTTGACTTTCCCTCGCCTCTAGATACAGCTCCATTTCTCAACTTTCCCAAAGGGGCAGGAAGCTGCATTGTACCCATTACTCTGATACCGACATTAAAGCATGCATGGGGCAGGAGGGGAGCAAGTGACCTAAGGACCCCTGCTGTGCCATCTCCAAGCTCACCTCTGTTTCGTGGTCCTCGGCCACGTTGGCTTTCGGTTGGTCATTGACCCTATGGAGAGAAGGATTTATCAAAGAGAGCTAAATGCAGACATTCTGGTTTTCCTGGGGATGGAAAGCTAAACCATAGGGAAGTTTGGATTTCTGGATCTCTGCCTGCCCCCCCCCCCCCAAGCCAAAACCATGATTCCTAACGTTGGATAAACTGGCTGTGGCCAAGTTACTAAATGTTTCTGGAGAAAACACATTTTTAATCCACCTCTGTTTTTCCCAGTTCACCTCTGAATGATGGGGTGGTATTCAGGTCTATTTGGGGGGTATTTAGGGGGTTAAAAAACCCCACAGGATTAGAATGAGGGGACCAGGGTTTTAGCCTCAGCTCTGCCACTACTAATTCTGTGTGCGACATCGGGAAAGTCACTTCCCCAATACGTACTTGTTCTTCTTCCTTAAAAGGAGGAAGCTGATAAGGAGAACAGTTTATATAATAACAATAACAATGTAAAAGGAAGCAACTTCAAAAGATTTAAGAACTCTGATTAGTGCAGTGACCACTTATGATTCCAGATTCAATGATGAAGCATACCACTCCTCCTCCACAGAGAGAGGCTGATGGACTCAAGATACAGAATGTTTTGTTTGACTGTGAATTTTTGTTCCAAAGGTTGTGGGTTTTTTTTTTCTTTCTATTAAATTGGGTGTGGGGTGGGAGGGAGAGAAAATAAATACTTGTTAATTAAAAAGCAAAAAAATAAAATGAGGTAGTTAGTTGACTCCGACAGGGCCCTTTCTAGCTCTGATCTTTCATTTTCTCTCCCACATCACATGCATTGTATACCACAAAGGCCACTGAGAGAAACACCATGCTGCTCCCCAGTTGGCTGAATGAACATTAGGCCGATAAAACATTTTTGGCCACCAAAGTGCGTGACTTGTTCAAATGTCCACACTGACAAGGAAGCTGGGCTTTGATCTGCTGGTACCAACTCCACAAATACCCAGGTAGGAAAAGGAAGGTTTAACCCACAAGCATGTTACTTTGAAGAAATTTTGGGCTTATTTTTTATTAACTTGGAAAAAGGCGGGGAGGGAGAGAAAAGCAGATAGAGATTAAGAAATTCCCTGTTGGCTGGAAGGAGGGATATGAAGGTGAGTTGATGCTTACCGCGTCTCTTCAGCTGCATCAAGGACTTGGGATGCTTGCGGTGGGGTGGAAATGTCTAGATAAAACAAAAACATAACACTAAGAATGAGGTACCATGTTTCCCATTCATTTTAGGTCAAAGGGGCAAGTAGGAGTAGAGGGGAAAACTTTGTTTGAAAATAAGTTCTTAGGTAAATTGGTTTCTTTCTCCTAAACCATATACCCCAAAGGAAAGACTTTACTGACTTATTTTCAAGTTCTCCCTCCCACCCTGACATGCATTCCACTTCAATAAAAATGCATTTTTGGAGTTAACTGACCAATCAACAAACATTTATTAATCACTACACACCAAGCTAAGAGGTAGTGGATTGAGGCAGTTCTTGAAGCCAGGAAGACCTGGGTTCCAGTCTTTCTGACACATACAGGCTGTGTAACCCTGGGCAGGTCCCTCATCCATGAAAGGAGAAGTTTGGACTAGGTGTCCTCATGCTAGGACCCAACCCCACTGCTATCACTCTGACAGTGAATCTCATCCCCATGAACAGACTGCTGCCATAACAGCCCAATAGATCTTCCTGGCTCTACTCTTTCCTGGCTCCAGTCTACCTGTCACACCCCTTCTAGACGAATTTTCTTTATCTAGAGAGCTGGTCGTGTTATTCTTTTGCTCAAGACAGAATCTTTGCCTCTATCCTACTTACTCAATAGGATTTAAGAAGTCACTCTATTGAGCATGATGATGTACCCTGTAATTCCAGCTACCAGAGCCTGAAAATGGTAGATCTCTCGAGCTCAGGAGTTGAGCTGTATTGGGCTATGCTGATTGGGTCTCTGCTCTAAGCCATCACCAGTACAGTGAGCCCCTCGGAGTGGGGGGCCACCAGCTTGCCTAATGAGGGGCAACCAGTCCACTTTAAAGGTTAGAAACCGGGCAAGCCAATTAGTAGTGGGGTTGGGCCCATGAGTAGTCTAGATTTTCAGCCTGAGATAGATGGGAAGACCTCATCTTTAAAAAAAAAAAAGACATTTCTAACCCAGTCTGATTTTACCCAATTCAACAACAGCATTTAGGCAAATTTTTGTGAACTATAATATAGAAAGAATTTTGAATTTATTCAATTCATGTTTTAAAAAATGAATATTCAACTGTTATAGTGATTCTAAATGACACATGACAAATAACTCAAACTTAGAATATATACACATATATATATGAAGTCTTTAAGGTACAGAGAAGTATGCAGCATAGACAGAATACTATATAAGAACCAAGAAATCTGAATTTTATTCTTGGCTCTGTTACTAACTGGCTGCCTTACTGGGCTATATAGGATCATAGATACAGAGCTGGAAGGGACTATTGATGTCTGGTTCAACTTCTCACTTTAAAGATGAGGAACTGAGTCTCAGAGAGGAGAAGTGATTTTCCTAAGGTCACAAGGCAGAACCCAGGTCCTCTGCTTCCAAATCTAGCACTCTCCTCTGTACCAGTCATCTACCTAAATGTCTCCTCCTTTGTAAACATGGAAGAGAAGGAGGTGGAGGGAGAGGAAGACAGTATTGTCAGCTGGTTAGACCAGGGTTCTTCACTTAAAAAAAAGGGAGATGGAGACAACTCAGAGTGACTAATGGTTCATGAACGCAAGCTTGGACTTTGAGGGAACTTGGCCAATTCCTCCTACCTGAAATCGAGCCTTATCTGGCCTACTAACACGGTTTCAGAGTTGGAATGGATCTCAAAGGTCATCCAGTCCAATCTTGTCCCTCCCTATAGACCAAACAAATGGATATCTAGCCTTTGCATGAAAATAGCTAATGAGGATATTTCCAACTAAACTCCCTTCCCAGATAGCCCAGCCCACTCCTGGGTAGCTCTGTCAGAAAGTTTCTTCCTAGGATTGTAGAGCTATAGCTGGAATCATCTTGTCCAATTTCCCCCTTTTATTGATGAAGAAACTGAAGGCCAGAGAAAAGAAAAGAATTGCTCATGGTCATACACGTACTTAGATCCCTAGTTCAATTGCAATGACCCATGTCAATTGTACTGACTCTTGTCAACTACACTGACCTATGTCAAATGGACCGACTCATGTCAATTGCACTGACCCCATGTCAGTTGGACTGACCCATGTCAACTGGATTGTCAATGTCCATGGACTATGGATTATGTCACTTGTATTGTACCATGTCAATTGCACTGACCCATGTCAATTGTACCAAACCGTGTCAATTGCACTGTATTATGCCAATTGTATTGTACCATGTCAATTGCACTGTACCATGTTAAAGGTACTATACCATATCAATTGCACTGCATCATGTCAATTGGACTGACCCATGTCAACTGCACTGACCCATGTCAACTGGACCAGCCCATGTCAATTGGACATACCATGTCAATTGCATTGTACCATGTCAATTGCACCAAACCATGTCAATTGCACTGTACTATGTCAATTGTATTATACCATGTCAATCACACTATACCATGTCAAAGGTACTATACCATATCGATTGCACTGCATCATGTCAATTGTACCATATCATGTCATCTGCAATGTACCTCTATATGGACTTCAAGCTTTTTGCATTTTACTGTACCTAAATCTCTCAGTGACTCAGTTTCCTCATCCGCAAAATAAGGGTACTGGCCTAGGAAGTCCCTTAAAGCTATGAGCCTGTGATCCTAAATTTGCCTCTTTGTAACTTCCACCCAATGCTCTTTGTTCTGTTCTCTAGGGTCAAGAAGAACAAGTCAAATTCTTCTTCCACAGGCCAGTTTCTCAGTTGCTTGTTCCTCCCCAACCCCAGCTGTCTCTTCTCCATGCTGAACAACCCCAGCCCCTCCAGACAATCCTCCTATGCCATCTATCTAAGGCCCTTTGTCACACTGATTGCCCTCCTTCGAAGGCTCTCCAGCTCACAACCCTCCTTCCTAAAATGTGGATTGGTCACTGGGAATGATCTCAAAGCCCTTCTCTGCTTTGCCATGCTGAGATCTAGGAGCCGGTAACATTTCACTGATACCAGCAGGGGCCGAAAGAGCAAGTCTTACATACACTGCTCCTTAGCACCACCCAGTGTCCGGCAGCCAAAGAATTTCCTGTTTAAAGTTTTTTTCCCTGGATGCTGTAGAACGATGCCTCACAGACTAACCGCCAAGAATTTCCCCATGACATTCCACAGCGGGTATGGATTCTAAGTCCAGTCGGCTAATGTGGTGTAGTGGGGAATGTATCGAACTTGGAGTCACAATCCTCGAGTTCAAATGTTGGCTTTGCTACTTCCTCGATGATTGTGGGTAAGTTCTTAACTTCTCTGGGACTCAGTTTCCTCCTCTGTAACAGGAGGTGGTTGGGGCTTGATGAGGTTCCTTGTGAAGCTCCTTCCAGTTCTAAAGCTTTGATCCTATAATCAAAAACTGTGCTTAGCCTAATTGACCTGGAACCACTTCATGCCATTGCTCTGAAACCCTTTTTGTGATCTGGAGATGTTCCTTAAGGTGGCCAGTAGGTGGCGCTGTGCAGCAAGTCTAGGCAGGTCGATGACTGGCATCTTAAGAGATGGATTGAGTGGTGGATTAGGGTGAGAGTCAAGGACTCAGTTTCCTCACTTGTAAAGTAGGGTAGCATCTGCCCTGCAACTACAAGTAAGGAAGATGAGTGAAAAAGAGGCTCAGAAAACCATCAGCACAGAGGGGATAGGAGAAGAGGGGCGCTGCTTATCTCGTAAGCTGAGATCCCATCGTACCCCATCAAAGGGTGTGTTGGGGGGAGGATGTAGGTCAGAGGATATGATTGTGTCCTCATGAAAGTCACTTCAACTCCCTGGACACAGTTTCCTTTTCCATAATCTTGTCTTCTTCCCCAATGCCTACAAATGCGGCCCCTCCCCCCACCATCCTTAAATAAACATCCATTTGGTGCCATCATCCTATATCTCTTCTTTTCATAATTCGACTTCTGGAAAGAATGGTCCACCTTCGGTGGTGTTCTCCCCTCATTGCCCCTTCCCTTTCCAATCCCTTGCAACCTGGTCCCCAACGCCACCACTCCACTGAAATTAGGTCCTACACCTGTCTCTTACCCACTAAATCCAATGGTCTACGTGGTCTCCGGTTTTTGACACTGTCCCCACTTTGTCCCCACTGCTCTCTCCTGGTTCTCCTCTACCCTGTCAGACCACTCCCCCTAAATGACTCCTGATTCCAAGGCCAGAGAGCTATCCACTGTGCCATCTAGCTGCCCCTGAGTTCCACTTTGGACATGTTGTTTAAATGAGCAAGGAAGGCAACCAGTATCCCCTGCTACGGCATCAGCCCAAGGACAATGGACTATGGGTTCTGTTTTATTGTGAAAAGCAGTGTGTGGAAGTGGAGACTGAGGAAAATCTGGGTTCAAATCCAGCCCCTGACATATACTGGCCATGTGACCCTGGGTAAGTCATTTCGTTTCTAAGTGTCCCAGCCAATGCTTTAAGACTGTAAGTTGAGGAGTAAATGCTGATCTGTACTGCTAGAGGGAGTTCCTTATACCAATGAAATTGCAGGCCCAGTGAAACACAAAAAAATGTTGTATTATCAGGAAGAGAAAAGAAGAACCATTGGAAACCAGTTAGTCTAGCCTCCTTGTTTTATGGAGGAGGGAACTGACTTATTCAGAACAGAGTTAAGTCCAGTCCCTGGGTCATCTGACTCTCAGGCTAACTCCCCTAATACCGCCCCCATACTGGGCCCACCAAGCTCAGGTACAGCCCTCACAATCCCACCTGGTGCAATGGGAGCCCCACAGAGAGAGGCTCACCCAAGACCGGAAAGGCAGAAGTAATGGAAGTGACGAGCGGTTAGTAGAATCCATAGCCATGACTCACCTGGGAAGATAAACTGCTGTCTATGATGGATGTAGTGGGCAGCTTGAAATAAAAGAGAGCAAATCACACAGACAAACAGCAAACACAGCTGAGAGAAAAATGTCAAGAGAGACGGTCAGTGGCAGGCACATGCGTTAAGTGACCCGCACTCGGTGGGGATGCAGGTCAACTGGTTAACCGGCTTCTTATCCTCTGCCCGCTCCGCACAGGCTTCTTGGAGAAGCGGGTTAAGAGAGGAGGGGTGGACAGTCTAAGGTTAAAACAGAGCTGGTGGAGAAAGGGGGAGAAGGAGGTATGTGGAAATGGGGACAGGCCCCCAAGCTCCCAGAGCCAAAGGGTCCTGCACTATTGCCCGTGTGGGAAGAGTGGAGGATTTAGAAATAGGAGACATGGGCCTTAAATTGTGACCTCAGACCATCTGCCTCCTCCCCAACTCACCCAAATAAATGTATGAGAGATACTGGAACAGGCCACTTGTAAAGGCCTGCCCAATAAGCTCTGCATCTCCCAGGTGACTCACTGGAAACAGGGTCTGGGGCCCTGCCCCCCTTCTCACTACTCACTGGATCTCACATCACCCCCCATAATCCTTTTCTCAAAGTATGGCTCTCTGGGCCTCCATTTCCTCATGTCTAAAAGAGGGGTTAATTGCCTTCCTTCCCCAAGTTACAGGGGAGTGTAAAGGGAGGCCGTGCATGGGAAAAGCACCTTGGGAAAGTAAAAACTACCTGGAAAGCCAAGGCATGACATTCACAATCAATGATACCCTAACCAAAGAATCAAGGCTCCAGTTTGCTGATCTGCAAAATAAACTGCTATTGAGGGTTTATCTGGAGGTCTACACAACTTGTGGGGAGCGGGGTTATAAGCAACTGAGCCTTCTTTTAGGACTTTGAGTTACTCTCTCCTCACGCCAGGCTACTTACTCATCCATTCACACTTCAATGAGGATGATGAGTGATTAAGGCTTACTTATGGATCAGAGCAAACTCTCTGTACTGGGTCTGTACAAAGGGGATACAGCAGACATTAACGAAGAGAGATCCAGAGAGCTGATTTCACACTAGAGAAAGCAATCAGACGTAAGAGCAGACTTGGGGTTGGGAAAACCTGTGCATCCATGCAGCCCCTCACTTCTACCCTCGGAGCCACTAACGGCAGCCTGGGAGATCAGAAAGGTTGAAGGAGAGGCAGTATTGAGGTCCCAGAAGAGGAGGGACAGGCAGTGTTGGAACCACAGGAGAGGAGGGGACCACACAACCCAAGCCCTCCGGACCAGCTCTCAGCCTACCAAACCATCCCCGAGACTTAACACACCATCATCCTCAATGAGGGGGTGAATGGTCATTAGAAAAAGGCTGCAGCTGCTCAGAAACTGATGTGAAGAAGCAGAAGAGAGAAGCAAGCCTCGTTCATGCTGAGATCATTCAACACGACACGAGCTCACAAAGATTTACGCTTACTTCCAATTTAAGGCACACAGATTTCATGCAGCATGCGCACGGCACTGAGAAATGAGCTCAGAGGCACGCAGCCCACAGCTATTTCTAGACTCCTCCCGCTCTCATCCTCCTCCTTCCCCACCCACCCAATCCTCCGCTCTCCAGCCCCACCACCCCCCAAAACCCAGTCAGAGAGTCCGTGGCTCCTATTCTTAGTGCTCCAGAGAAGGCAGCCGACTCATCGCTCCTGAAGACAAGCCCAGGCCTCATTGACACCATGGCCAGGGCAGCTTAGACCATAACTGGGGTCAAATTCATTTAGGGAAAAGCACACTAGGTCTCCCCTATGGGTCAGATCACTCTCCTGCCTCACACTCCTTTCCACTGCCCCTCACCCATCAAATAAGTGCATGAGAGACGCTGGAACAGGCCATGAACAAAGGCTGATGAGCTCCAACTCTCCCGGAATTTTAGACTTGTTCTTAACAGGTGCCTGCCGCACCTCATCACTACTCACTGAACCTCACCTCCCTTCCCTAACCCCTTTCTGAAAATGTGGCTGTAAGGTGAGTGCCTAACATGTATAAAGTGCTTCAAGGCTGACAAAGTACTCAGCAGGCATTAGCTTGTTGGAGTGGCACGATAACCCTGTGGAAGGGACGCCGTGGGTGGTATCATCCCCGTTTTACTGAGGTTCAGAGAGGCTAAGTGACTTGCCCATTATCCCACAGCTTGTAAGTGCCAAAGCCAGGTCTCTCCTATTCCCCAAGGTCAGTGTGTTTTCTATAACACCACACTGTTTTCTAATATAAAAGTTGCTGTTATTTCATCCTTTTCAGTCGTGTCTGACTCTTCATGATCCCTTTTGGGGTTTTCTTGGCAAAGATACTGGAGTGGTTTGTTATTTCCTTCTCCAGCTCATTTGACAGATGAGGAAACTGAGATAAACAGGTTAAATGACTTGCCCAGGGTCACACAGCTAATAAGTGTTTAAGGTTGGATTTAAACTCAGGTCTTCCTGACTCCAGGCCCAGCACTCTATTTTACTATAAAGGTATAATCTTAAAATTAAAATGAATCACAATAGATTACATGTTAAGGATTTTTTCAGGACTTTACAATGCCTCTCATGGTAAATGGAGAAACATTCTAGGATGCTACAAACCCAGGGCTGGGAATTCCTCTTCTGGCATATACATTTATTGGACTGGATTTCATTAGTTGAGAAAACAAAGGCCCAGTGGGGAAACCTTCTCTACCAATGCTGATTGGCAATCACTCTGCAATTTCTAGTTCCGAGTTGCCCAGGGCCCTGAGAGGCGTCAAAGGCTGGACTCCTGACTCTGAAATCTGCTCTCGTTATCCCCTGCCAACTGCTCTCCCTGGGCATAAATGGGGCTGGAGTCAGTTGTGAGTTTCAGTCACTCTCCAAGCCTCCACTAGCCTCCTTCTGCTCCATCACCACCAACTCGGCTCCATTCCTTAGCCCAACTCGCCAACTGGCCAAGGCGGGCCACGCCTCTTGGGGGAAGAGCTGAGTGACAGAAGTTGGAGAGTTCAGGGAAACCTCATTCTCAACACCACTGGAGACACGATTAGATGCTCATGGAGCAGAGTCACCCTCCCTGATTGAACCTGAGAACTGTTACTTCTCAAGAGGAAATGCCTACCCTGTCCTGCACTCATTCTCCTGCCCTTGACTACTTATTCTGGGAGCCCAGGAGATAGTGATTAAATGACCATTCCTCAGCAGAATACACCTCCCACACATGGCGAGGGAGGTCTGCCTAGCGAAAGAAATATGGATAGAATTAAGTTCTAGCCAGTGAGGCCAGCTAGGAACAGATCTGGAAATTCAACACTGTACAACCCACTTGTTAAAGAATGAAATCTGAACTGCAGACCAAGGCCAGACAGGGGAAGACCTTGACCAACAGCAGTCACCCCGGAGACCAAGAAGAGTGAAGAGAGAAAGCTCACTGGAAACACAGGAAGTCCAGATTCCGCCACCCAGACACAACCCGCCAAGGGCCAACAGAGCTCCCTAGCATCACACCCAGAGCAGTCACCTGGAAAATTAAACCTGCTGTCCCGCTGGGCCATCGGGGAGGGATTCGGGGGTGTCGTTGCGCTGGGGGGGTTGGAGGACTGGAAGGGCGCTGGGGAGGATGGCGTGGAGGAGGTGGTGGAGGATGGGTTACTGCTGGAGTCAAGGTGGTTCACGGCCGGAGGGTGTTCCTGCAAGACAAGAGGGATTAGACCCGGACGCCCCCACCGTGGAGAGACCCAACTGTGGCCTGCTTGGTCACCCACAGATCCGCCAATCTGGAAGAGGCCGTCTGGTCCACGGCACCACAAAGCCGCCTAGATCTCTACACTTCCTCTGCTTCTAGAACCTATGAGTGACTGAAGGATGCCCACCTGGACTGAAGGGACTATACATTCAGGGAGTCCAGATAAAGAGGTGGAATTATGCAGCTGCCGCAGCAGATAACACTTCAGCCCTGGAGTCAGGAGTTCAAGTCTGGTCTCAGACACTCAACACTTACTAGCTGCGTGACCCTGGGTAAGTCACTTAACCCTGATTGCCTCACCAAAAAGAAAAAAAAAAGAGGTGGAATTATGTTGGTCTTCGATGACAAATGGAATTTGGATAAGCTCTGTGTGTGTGTGTGTGTGTGTGTGTGTGTGTGTGTGTGTGTGTGTACAGAAGGATGGAAGGGTACATCAAGAGCAAAGGCAAGAGGATGGGGAAAACTTAATGAGGAGGGGACAGAGAGGAGATGGGACTGGTTGCAGCAAATGTTCATGTTGACGAAATGGGAAAAAAAATGGGACAGTAATATGAATAGTATTAGGGCAGCTAGGTGGCACAGTGGATAGAGTACCAGGCCAGGAGTTACGAAGACCTGAGTTCAAATCCAGCTTCAGACACTTACTAGCTGTGTGACCCTAGGCAAGTCACTTAACCCCAACTGCCTTCCTACAAAGAATAGGAGGAGGAGGAGGAGGAATAATAATAGCTAGAATTTGTGTAGCACTTTAAGGTTTCAAAGCCCTTTACAGATGTGATTTCATTTGACCAATACCAGCAGTTCAGGGAGCACCAGATTGTGGCAAGTCCTGAGTGAGTGACAAAGGGGCGTGGACGGTCTGCAGGAAGCCACTGAGAATGACCACAGCCACGTTCTTTGTTCCTGGTCTTTGAGTAGGGCCAAGATGGGATAAAAAATGCCCATGCACAGAGTGGAGGGAGAAAGTGGAGGCAGGAAGCCATGGACGAGGCTGCTGGGCGCGGCCATCTTGGGTACACCCACCATCTTCCATCAGCCGCCTTTGGCCCCTACTCAGTTAACTGGGCCTCAGCATGCTGAGGTCAGGGCAGGCGCCACATGTGGTCACTACAGTCTTTTCTCCTCCATCTGTACGCGCTGACACACAAGTGCTGCGGGGAGGTAATGAGGGGACACCACCAGGCTTAATTAGTGAGGGAGTCGAGGGCACCCAAAGCCAGCAGGGTGGGATGGCAGCACAGGACATTAAAAAAGACACACATGCCACCTCCAGGGTGCAGAGAAGAGCACCTGGCCGGACACCAGCTCCCAGGGAAGAGAGGTCACAGATGCCCTCTGGCCCCTAGTGCAAGGGTCATTTCTCGGACCATGGCAGAATTAATGTATTTGAAGGACTTTCTCCATGTTAGCTGGCGTGCTAAAAACAGTGATGCATGTGTGGCTCTAGCTGACTGAATAACTTTGCTAATTTGGGTCAACTGCAAAGGAGACAAGTCTGAACTAGCAGAATTATAAACTCATGATGTATGTTACAGGTGTTAAAAAATCATGGCCCAAGAGCCAAATCTGGACCACTGTCTATTTTTGTAGGCCCATGAGCTAAGAAGATTTTTACATTTTATATAACACTTCTCACTTTAAGATTTGCAAAGTATTTCACTGATACTTCAGGGCAGTTGAGTAATGCGGTAGATTGGCTTTGGAGTCAGGAAGACCTGAATTCAAATCCTATCTCAGGCTCTTCCTAGCTGTATGACCCTGGGCAAGTCACTTAACTTCTCTTTACCTGAGTTTCCTCTTTTGTAATAGGAGGATAATAATAGCACCTACATCCCAGGATTGCTGTGAGAATAAAATGAGCTAATATTTGTAAAGCTCTCTGTAAATGTTAAAGCACTATATAAACACTAGTTATTGTTGTTGTTAGAATTATTATTTTTATTTTATGTCCTCATAATTATTATTATTATCATTATTACATCCTCTCCTTAAAGTAGGTGCTATTATCAGTCTCATTTTACAGATGAGGCTCTGAGGCTGAGGGATTTAGTGACTTGTCTAGGGTCATGAAATAGCACCTAAGGCAGGATTTGAACTCAGGTCTTCCCGACTCCACATCAAGACCTCTATTCCACCCTTCCACTAAACCCGCCTGTGTGTGTTGTCTCTCCCTTTGAGAACGGGAGGCCTTTAGAGCAGGGTTAGAGCAATCCTGTACCCACAACACTTAGCAGCACAGTGCTTGGCCCATGGCAAGATCTCAATGAATACTTTTTCAATCATCTGTTCATTCCGTCAAGGACAAGATGGGGGGCTGCGGCCAGAGAGAGATAGGCTGCATCGATGGCGTGTGAGGTCCCCTCCATCTCTGAGACCTTGTGATTTAGAGATCCTCTAAATAATATGCACTCATGTGTATTTGATCACTTGTAGGGTTTCCAAATTCTTGAAAGATTCAAATGCCCTTTTATCGTATTTAGACAATATGCTAAAATCAACCCCAACTCCTCACTGAACCATGGAAGTGACTGTGGCTTTTCAAAGATTGCACAATGTTCTACCAAGCTGGAAATTCTGATTGTTGTCATTCAGCTGTTTTCAGCCATGTCTGACTCTTCATGACCCCATCTGTGGTTTTCCTGGCAAAGATCCTGGAGCGGTTTGCCATTTCCTTCTCCAGCTCATGTTTACAGATGAAGAAACTGAGACAAACAGGGTGAAGTGACTTGCCCAGGGTCACACAACTAGTAAGTATCGGAGGCCGGATTTGAACTCAGGAAGTTGAATATCCCTGACTCCAGACCCGGCATTCTATCCACCTAGCCACCTGCTGCTGCCTATTGGGGCCTACGAATGGTCAGCATACCCACATCTGCAGACTGTCCTCATTAGGTGCAAAGACACTTATCCCTCCATGGGCCACAACACCTCTCAAGGTACAGCTACTAACGCATGAAGGGGTTAGGATGTGTGTTGTTGCAAAGCACAGTGAAGCCCACAAAATTCCAAATCCTTGGTGTACTTAAGTCTAAGTGCACACAGCAATGGCAGATAAGGCTTTGCTCACTGAAGGTTTTATTACACCTGCTTTAATGCCCAAGTAAGAATCATTTGTAATCTGGGCATTTTATGCGAATATAGTTTCACAAAGTCATTTCAGAATGGCCTGGCCACCAGTATAAAACCAAGCTGCTCTGGACCACTCTCACTGGGACCCAGAATTCTAGTTTGGAAGGGGTGGGGGCTCGGGGGGGGTATACATCCATATGCAGTATTGGGGCAGTAAGATGGCGCTCTGGCTGGGCCCTGCTCATGCTCTACACAATCAGGGCCACTCTCACTCACCTTCTTCGTCAGTGCTTTCGGGAGGGTTCCAAAATGAGGCTCTGTCGATCTGTCCACCGGATTGTTGATGTCTGAAGGCACAGATTCTGTCCTCCGTAGTTTAGATACTGGGAAGAAAAATTGGGGTGGGCCAGAGTCTCAGTAAAAAGACTTAACCTAGCCTGGCAAAGTGGATGAGACAAAAACCAAGAGACTCACGTGGTAGGAATGAGATTCTACAAAGAGGGACTTCTTTTGTGCATTTGTTGTGGCACTTTAACCTGCAGAGGAAAGATAGCCAAGAGTGGGTCAGGGACTCATTTGTTTTGGGTTTTATTTTTAATTTTTTTTCATTCTGAACTTATATAGCAAATAACACAAGCATTTCCATATACACAGAACTGAAGGGGAAAAAAAAGATTGTACGTGAGACTGCAAGTCTCCATTATGTATAATTTTTTTTTCTTTTTGAATGTAAGCTCATTTCAACACTGAACTTTCAAAGCTGTCCCAGTTGTCCACGATTCTTTCTGTTCTTTTCTGTTCTGCTCAGTGCATTTAAAAAAAATGCTTCAATGGCTTCTTTTTCTTCCTCCTCCCCTCATTCCCTTTTTCTCTTCTCTTCCTTCCTTCTTTCTTCCTCCCTTCTTCCCTCTCTTTTTTCTCTCCCTTCCTTCCTTTCTTCCTCCCTTCTTTTTTCACTCTTCTCTTCCTTCCTTCTTTTTTCTCCCTTCTCTTCCTTCCTCCCTTCCTTATTTTTCCTTCCTTCTCTTCCTTCCTTCCTCCCTCTCTTTTTTCTTTCTCTCCCTTCCTTCCCTTCTTTCTTCCTCTCTTCCTTCTTTCTTTTTTCCTCCCTTCTCTTCCTTCCTCACTTTTTTTCTTTCTCTCCCTTCTTTTCTTTCTCCCTCCCTCTTCCTCTCTTGAAGATACAAAGAAGAAAAAAATTCTAAGGGCTCTTCCAGTGCACCAGTCTTCATGAGACTCTGAGGGTCACATGGGGATGTCCGAAACATTTAGTAGGGCGATAGGCAGTCCTGCCAATGACTCAGCTAGGACTAGAGAGCAGTTTCTTAGGCTTTTCTCCCCTATGCATGGACCCCCAAATGTCAATGTTCCCAAGTGGTGAGCTTCCTGTTTTCCTTTCCCTTACTCCTGTGCTTTCCTTAAAGGCTAGCCATCCCTTCCCTTTCCCACTCTCCCTGCCCCACTCTCTCAGACCCCACTTTTGAGCCAAATTAGAACTAATAAAACAGACAAATTAGAGGATAAGTATACTGCAAAGTGATCTGAGGGGTTCCTTTAAACTGGGGCGGGAGGAGGCACTAATGGGATAAATCAGAGACTAGCTGTACTGCAGCAGGACTCAGGAGGTAAATGGGCCTCGAGGGTATCCAAGGACTTATTAAGTATTTGAAAGACAGCCTAGGTGTGGTGAGGAGGAAAAACTGATGGAAAACGTAAAGGGGAAGTAACTAGGAGCCACCGACAATTAAGTATCAATTCAGAAAGCACAAAGAATCGCAGAAAGTGTAATGGAAATCACAGAGAAAAAAAATTAGAATTAAAGGAGACCTCAGAGGCCAGCTGGTCCAAACCCCTCGTTTGCAGACAGGGAAACTGAGGCCCAGAGAGGTTAAATGACTTGCCCAGGGTCACACAGGGAACAGACAGCAGAGGTAGGATTTTAAACCAGGTCTTCTTATTCCAATTTTATTAATAGATAATTTTCAGGGACACATGGTTCTTAATAATAATAGCTATCAATTATTAGTTCTTAATAATAGCTATTAATTATTAGTTCTTAATAATAGCTATTAATTATTAGTTCTTAATAATAGCTATTGATAATAGTAGTTATTAATAATAATACCTAACTTTTCTGAAATACTTATTGTTATCAGGGATGGGGCCCAGACCTATGATTTCACTAGTTTAGGGAACACCTGAGTAAGGAAATTCCTTCCAGCAATGCAGGTCAACGTCTTCTCTGCAAATGATAAGTCTTAGAGTAGCCTAGAGATCTAAGAAGGTAAGTGACTTGCCCAGGGTCATAGAGCCATTTCAGCAGGGGGGCTTGACCCCAGTCTTCCTGGCTTTTAGGCCAAATCTAGCTGCTATGTGGGACAGCTAGATGGCGCCATAGTGCACAGAGTGATGGGCCTGGAGTTAGAAGACTCATCTTCCTGAGTTCAAATCCAGCCTCAGACACTTACTAGCTGGGTGACCCTGGGCAAGTCACTTCACCCTGTTTGCCTCAGTTTCCTCATCTGTAAAATGAGCTGGTGAAGAAAATGGCAAACCACTCCAAGAAAACTCTGCCAAGAAAGCCCCAAATGGGGTCAGGAAGAGTCAGACAGGACTGAAACAACTGAACAACGACAATAATAAATCTGCTATGCCACACTGCCTCTCAGTATTATTGTTTATAACATTGATGAGATAGTTTTTCTTATTAAGGGAGAAGAGGAAGAGGAAGGAGAGGGGCATAATGAGAATAATAGATTAAGTCTTCCCCTCTGACCCACCTGCCCCCATCCCACACACCCTGGGGCCAATTCTGACCCTAGCCCCATCCCGTCCTCACCTGCAGTGTTTACACTTCACTCCAAACATCATGCTTTTCTGGCACACGTGACAAATTTGGGACAGCCAGGACTTCGTTGAGAACCTGAACAAGATGAAATAACACACAGTCCCCCCACCACGTGATGAGAGCAGAGCAAGGAAGCCCCGTCCTCCCCCGCTCTAGTAAGCCAAGCCAAACCCCAGGAAGGGAGATGAGGAGAGGCCTGGGGAACACAATGAACAATGAATGACCCGAGGAGAGGAAGTTCCCAGGCTGTTTCCAAAGAGGAAAGGCAAATGGGGGTGAAGCTGCAGTGGGGCCCTGGTTCCTAGATAATTATTTGGCCCATAGATTCAAGAGCAGGAGTTAGAATCCCAGAAATGTCAGGGCAAAGAAAGGCCTTAAGGATCAGAGAATCCAATTCTCTTCTTATACAGAGGGGGAGACTGAGGGTCAGAGAGGAGACATAGTTTGCTCAATAGAACGGAGATTTCCTCTCCTCCAGTCCAGTGTTCTCTATCTCTGTTTCTCCTGCCTGGGACCCAGGATAGCAAACAAACAAACAAAAATCCCTGCTGGGAATCTCGTCTGGTCTAACCTAAACAAAGATTCAGAAGCCGAGAAGCTGGACAGAGGGAGACTGAGGGAATAGGATTTTCCCCATGGGGAGTCACTAAGCACTCTGAGATCCCTCATGAACTGACCCCCCCCCATGTGTCCAACACCCCGCAGGAAGAAGGCTTGGATGGCCACAGTCCACTTTTCTCAGAACGTGCTCCACTGCGGCTGGGCTTACCTGTGGGTCACCGAGAGGCCGATGTCTCTTCGTACCGTCTGTGGGGATCCGCGGGGGAGATCTGATGGCAAAGAATGGGGTTTGGGCAAAGTGAGGGGTGCCTTCCTCTCTCTGGGTGCATCACATGCCAGAAACCAACCTAAGACTGGGAAGGGAGGTGGGAAGAAAAGGAAAACCAGCCGTCCTCTCTTCTTTCTAGGAGGGTCTCCAGCTAAGCTTCTAGATTCCTCCTGGTGAAATCACATCTAAGCTGCTTCCAACTCCCCCGCCCCTCCCTTGTTCTCCTTTACTGGAGCTGCCATGACATCATGGGTCATGAGATACTGTGAATTCAATCATCATTGAGATGCCATAAATCTTAACGTGGAAAGTTTCAAAGCCAAAAGGAATCACAGATTTCAAGTTAGGGTTGTATGCATGACACAGTCACGTATTTAGGATCACAGACTTAGACCTGGAAGAGACTTCAGAAGCCAACTCGCCCATTTTACAGATGAGGAAACTGAGGCCCAGAGAGGCAAAGTGACCAAGCTCACACAGGAAGTAAATGGCAGAACTGGGATCCGAATCCCAGGTTAAAGCTTCAAAGAAAGATAGATTTAGAGCCGGAAGGGACTATAGAGACCCTCATTTTACAGATGAGAAAACCAAAGGGCAGTGACTTACCCAAGGTCCAACAGGGAGTAGGTGACAAAGGTATGATATGAACCTAGGCGTTCTGAGTTCAAATCCAATAGTCTTTCTACCTTAGGAGGGACAGGGCATGTCACTCTAGCTAGTTAGCTCCAAACCACATTTCCAGCCATCCACTCTGGCCATTTTCTTGCCATCCGCCCCTACTACCTGCATGTAGACCCTGTCTCCCCCCTCCCCTCTTCTTTGCTTGGATATTGCCATTAAATCAATCCTGTCATTGCTTCTGGAAAGAGCAAGGTGATTCCTATTGGGATCCACTCCCCAACCCCATGACTTTCCAAAACAAAACACACTTTCCTGGCTACCACTCCCCTATTTGTACTGTCTCCTATTAAAAATGTAAACTCCTTAAGGTCAGGGAATATCTTGCTTTTGTATTTTCATCTTCTGTGTTTATCAGAGTGCCTGGCATACATAGGAAACCCTTAACGATTTTCTTTCATTCATGGTGATGAGATCCCACCATCACAAATTTAGAGCAGGATGTGGCCACAGTCCAACCTCCTCAATTTACAAATGCGGAAACTGAGATTCAGAGGTTAAGTGACTCACCCAGGATCACACAGATAGGAAGAGTCTAAGGTAGGATTCAAACTCAAGTCTTCCTCACTCTAAGGCCAGCACAGAGCTATCTAGCCATCTCTAACCCCAAATCCTGGGTCCCTTCCTCCATACCAAGGTGCCTCTTCACACGATTCCTTCCTGAGGATGCTTCCTGGGGAACGTGCAATGGTGGGAAATGGCCACTTATTCTTAAGCCAGTTTAGAAGGGATTTGGAGTTGGACCTGCTCAGAGAAGGGGAGCTCTCTCACTGAGCCCCGTAGACCGGCAAATACTACTTTTCATTGCGTATCAGCTCTGTAGTACAACACTGGAGAAGCCCACAGCTGATTCAGGCATGAACCCCCAACACCAGCAGTAGAAAGGGCGCCTACAAAGGGAGGGTTCATCAGGGCACAGAGATGCCATACAAAGCCAGATGGTGAAAGAATCAGTTTGTTCAGCCCATCCAGGGCTTAGCACAGTACTCAGTAAGTACAC